TTGCACAATCACGAGATGTTGAACTCAGCACGGTGCTGGCACGAGCTAGCACGGGCGGTTTTACTCTAAGCTGTGCACCAATCAATAACTATTCTACTGTCGTACCTATGTCCATGATACATGAGACTATTGGGCACAAAGTCGGATACGGCCACTTGAAGAAAGGCGCTTGTTGTCGGTGGGGGCAACGAGACTGGGTGCGGCCCAAATGGAGTTCGAGATCCCGCGCGGGAAATTTCCCCCGATGTCGCTATCTCTATTCCACGTGAAGAAATCAATGGAGCATCCGTCATGCCGTAATCGAGTATAAGCGAATCGGCGCGGGACTAAATGGATTGTGCAATAATTTTGATCAAGGAAGAAACTCGTTCGAGAGTACCATGTTGAAACTGTTAATGAACGTTTGCAAACGACTTTGGCGTCGTTCTCTGACCGGTTGAGTGATAATTCTGAAACTCTGATGTAATTCAAAGTGGGCGGAGCTCAACAGGAATTTCAATTCTCCCAAATTTATAGCCTGTTTACTGACCTTCTTCGGGGGAATGGTACATCCCGTGCGATCGCTTTGCTGAAATTGCAGAAGTTATCGTTTTTCAACGGTTACGATCAATTATCGATTAATTAGAGCTTACTTTCTTCGAGTAGTGCGACGAAACTCCTCTTGTGCAGCTAGTAGACTTTTGACCATATCAAAATTGTTCAAATCTCCCAGTGCAATCTTCGATGACAACAGCCCAAAACGTTGATTAATCTGCAGAGAATCAATAATTCGATTGATTACCATCATAAAAGGGAGGCACCAACCCTTTTTTCGACTAAGTAAATTATACGAGGGCAGAGAAGATTCTCAAAAAGTTTATATCCATCGCGAGATACAGCATCCTATAATTTTTTTCTGATTTTTCAGGGAAAGAAAATAAATCGAGGATCAACTTACAGCCAACTTTGCACCACTTTCGGGTGTCAACGAATTTTGCAATGTCACCATGACCGGAAAATTCGCTGCTGCTCGACATAGCGCGACCTAAATATTATATATTTTCCTCTTCCTCACCGAAATAAAAATAAAAATTTACCCTCAAGCTAGGATTTCCTCTGGTGTTACGTTTGACCTCCACATGCACATCCAGATGAAAACGGTTTGTTTGTATAGTGACAGATCCAGCCAATGGAACATCGTCAATATGGCCGGATCCAATAGCGCTGACACTAAAATTTTTATTTTCAAGCTAATTCTATTATTGATTTCTGATTTTTGAATTTTTGAAGGAGTGAAAGATAAAGAGAAGGTCCTTTCATGTGTATCACTGTTCAAATGTACTGGGTTTCGAAAAGCCACCACTGAAATTACTTTTTGGCCACCATTTTTGGCCACGCTGTTTCTGATGGGTTAGAAGTTACTTTTTCAGCTTTTTTATGAAAATCACCTGAGATTCATATTTTGCATGCTGACGGCAACAACATCGGGCGATTTTGGCACAACTTCAGAAATTTCGGGGGTTTGGAAAAG